TCATCATCATCATCATCATCATCATCATCATCATCATCATCATCATCATCAGCATCATTAGTTATTTTATGGGAAATTTCACGTTTTGATCTCGCATAATTGGTGAGGGTGTACTCCACGCCTGGTTCCAGTTAGCTTGTACTCAAAATGGTCCGAGGATAAACTACTCAAACAGAGGAACAATAACAGTATGGGCTAAGCTTGTCGAAACATGCTTTCAGTTTGTCTCCTCGAATTTCAAGGAACATCTTAACTAACGAAGACCTAAAATAGACCTAAAATGGGTTTGTTAAATAGAACTGTCACAGTGATATAGTGGTTTCATAGCTTATTATCCTCGTTGGAATAGATTGGGGACATTGTTTTACAGGCGTATTTGTCCGTTCATTTTCAATTTTCGAAGCCGGAGAACTGTCATGCAGCTTGAACACGCTCCATTTAATTCTACATTTACTTTCATACGCTTTCAGCTTGATTTTTGAAACTATGGAAAATGACTCACTCTGTGCACCAAATCTGCTGAATGGCTAATGTGAGTGCGCAAGGTGGGAACAAACTGCGCTGACAAAACTCGTACGCCTTCCGACGTTTTGCGTTCCAAGGCACCGGGGCACGAACAACATAGCTCGGATGGGGTGTCGGTGTCCATTCGATAAACAAACGCTTGCGCTCCTCCGGATCCAACAGGATGTAATCCACTGAGTGCAAAGAAGTGAATATTTAGTCGGGGGCACCATACAACAAAGTTGCCAGTAATAAAGTGTACCAGTACGATCCGTTAATCAGGATCTATTTACTTAAAAGTCAAGCAATACAGATTAGCATACACAAGCATAGAGCGTCTGGTACTGTTCCGGAGACGATTATACACCTACACCTAAAATAATCTACAATTAGTCAAACAAACAACAACAAGGGAAACCAATCTGCCTGAAAGGCCAACAAATTTGCATTCAAATATCTTTCGTCTGGAAAAATTGGGAAAGAATATTGAGAGATTGGTACTAATCCTTTGTTTCCCTTTCAAAATACGGCAAAAAGTGTCAGTACGGTTTTATTGGTTGGCGGATTTGTAGAGATTTTCACGTAATCCAAATGTAAAAGGATTAGGTACCTCGGTAGGATGAAAACTCATACACAGAGTGATAGACTTTTTATTGTCGTCATAAAAGATTTTATTTTTATGAATTGTATTCCGCAAACTTATGACCTAGTTAGGTCGTACCATCTAAGAAGTTATACATATTTTGATCATGCAGTCTGGACTAACAGTTTACTTCCTCCTCTGATGTACACCATATTTTCCGAATTTATCATTAGAATCAAGCAAAAAGAAATCAAAAATGAAATTAGATACATTGCAGCTGCAACATTTTTCAACTCCGTCCCTTGTGATCCTCACTAATCGATTGCATTCAACCATTCCTTCGATAAAAAATTGGATAACTTGAAAACTCAGTAGGTAAAAGAGTAGACTGACCGATTGATTTTCTCAAAGCATAGTCATAGTCATTCCGTATTTCTGTGCGGAGCTCGTCTGCAAGAAATGGCCAGGCTTGAACCAACTTTTTTGGTGTATATTCTTCCAGTTTGCGCCACAGTTGTTTGGGTGGTGGTGCTAGCATGTCGTCAGAAATACCTTTCTCAATGTAGTAATTGTATCGCTGGTGGTAAAATTGATAAAATCAGCGGATCAATTTACATTACACAATAGGTGTGATTATGATTTATCTATAGAGAAAGTGATACAATTTTGTTTCATTGGCTGAGTAGGACCAACAACACGCGGCTGTCTGGCGATTATCTTCCATATTCCTACATTTTTCAACAATCCCTGCGCTTCTTATGTATCTGAAAATTAAGTGTTCTAAAGGTTTGCACTTCGCACTACATCTGCGGTGCAGCCTGATAAAGGTCTCTACTGGGGGTTGGCTATTCTATGTTTTCATCTGTGTGGGCATAACGTGTACCTCAAAGAATATATAATGATTCACCGTGGAAACGGTAGGTTTCGAATTATTTTGTATCCAGTTTAACAAAATTGTAGTATTCTTGCACACTAGATATTTTCCAACATTTTTTTAATACCAAGAGTAATCGGTTGATGAGCCTTCTTGCAAATGCAATCAAAGCAGATAATCACATAGATTATAAGAAACTAAACATTCTAAGTTGCATGAAGCTATAAGCATCTAATCATAAAATACTGATAAACACAAGGAGTCTATGGGATCGCCTCGTTTCAACATAACCTCGAGAGACAAATGGGGATATTTGGGCGAGATTCCCCTCAAAAATTATGTCCAAAAATAATTTTAAAGAAAAGCACTGGATACACATACTCAATGAACGACCAACCCCAAAAGCCGCTTGTAAGCTTTTGGGAACTTTTTTTCCAATTAGCCATCCATTATTTGTTACGTACAGAATAATTTTAGGTGTGATGCTTTTAGTATTTTCTACTGTTTCATATGAATAAGTAGCAAATATTCTGTGAACAATTAAATATTTCTTTGCTACTGTTTTGGACACAGCTTCTTCATTACTTTCATTTGCCCCACTTATATAGCGGAATCCTGAATTCCTTGTTAGCTTAGCACCTGAGAGCGACGTGAGAATCTTAACGACTTTTTATATTTTTCACTTCGTTCTCTATTCTCATGCACTTACCGCACTTTGCAAATCCACTCTAGCAATGTAACTTAGAATTTCATGTGCATTATTTCCTTATGCCACGTTGCAAAAATCTGATGGAACAAGTGTGACACACAGTTCCAGCACTAACAGAAATGCTGAATCTCTTTAGGCTGCTGTGACTTAAGCATCTGTTACGCATCAAACGGGATAGAATTTTACACCATACAGTGTCTATATTGTTGTTAGTTATAACTCACTTTGTCTTTATTCGGTAAAAAGTTATTTTTGGTGGTTTCATGAAGTCTCCACAAATCTAAAATAAAATTATTGACCATGCATATTCTGTTTTCTCAGCATGTGATCAATATGTGAACATGATACTAAAACGGAGTTCAGTGAGATAGCTTAGAACGTATTGATGTTCATTGTCATCTAATATCTTATTCATTACTTATGTTCTTTTATTTTAATAAAATACGCTACTTTAATATAAGTTTACCAAGGTAAGAGATTCTGAAGAACTTTAAGTTCCTTTACTTGTCTAAATGTTTACCAAACAAATGGGTATAAACTAATACTATATGTTCCTTTAAAGGTGAGATAACTAAAAGATTATGTAAACTCATGTTAAGAACCATTAAATTATGATGATTACGATCAATTATACACTAAAAATAATCTTAGTTTATCAAATTATGTGACATCCGAAGAAAGACAATAACGTATTTCACAACTTGGTTCAATCACTAAGCAGCATATTTGAAATTTCGTTTTGGTCGCGCAAAATATCGGTTGCTCATGACGTTATCTTTTTCTTGTGCCTGTCCGATACAAAAAGCAGTTTTTGCTTTTACTGAACCGGACCGGGTTGCAAATAGGCTATTAGGCCACTGGATTGGGTTTAAAAACAAGTTAGGGGTTTATGCAGATTTAACTTAACTGTTATTGAAATCAAGACAGCTTAATCATAATGTTGTCTAGTCACTAATTACCAGAACTCAGTGTAAACGATCTGAATGCAAAATATGAAAAACAAATCAGAATGAAGTTGGTAATACAATAAATAAATGCACATTATGCAAGTGGAAATATTCGAATATTAATTGGACGATTGAACTACACCAATTTTGTTGTCCTCAGTGTCCCTTCCCGATCGCATCACTTACTATGCATGACATGGTTTCTGATGTATCTTAGCTAACTTCATCCCGCTCTCTCGTCTTAGCTCACAACCTTCTTTTTAATCTGCCCGCCTCTCTAACTTTTTCCACTTGACCTTTGTTCTCTTACCCTTTCCACGACTATCACTAGCCTTTTCATATTTTTTACTTTGTTTGCTCGCCTCTGTCACAAATTAATGCAAAAGAATCCAGTGTTCTTTAGACAAAAGTGTTCATAAATCTTATGACTAACGGTACACGGTACCTCAGCAAATAGGAAGTTCCAAAATACTTGGAGACTCTGTGTGACGCTGGCTTTTTATCTGTTGTTTGTACACTTTTTGACAGGGTTTGCAATCTATGGTATCATAGAGCTGAGTTGTTTTATATTCAAGGGAAAAGAAAGGGTAGGTATCTCTGGAAATTTATACGAGTCTAATCCAAACCCAGGGAAACATTGGCAATATATAGGTTTAGATCATATAACTTATCGACCGAGTTGACATGATGTACACATTCACATAATAAGAAAATCGGGTTTGATGATAACGGTCAAGCAGATGAGAATATACCATAACACATTCAAGCGGTCGAAGTAAAAATCTGAGATGACAGCTTCAGAACTTTGGAACGCTTGGTATGTCCATATTCGCTAAGGTACCCAGAGGCATTGACAAGGAGTACGCTTAAGTCTCAACTTAGTCGAGTTTATTTAGATATCAGGTTAAAATAATAAATTTTAACAGGTACTTGCTATTAACCTTTCGTTCACCACTGAACAATTCAAACCACCATAGTTTTGAGCAGAAGCAAAAAAGCACTAAAATACCTGGATTTCTGAAGTGCATGAGGATATGTTCACAACAATTCATTTGGAATGTATTGAAGGACTGGTTTAGTTATTGATGTTTTCTATGATTGCTTCTGTATATAAAAATGTTCTCCCAAAAGATTATATTTTTCTGTTATTATTTTCATTTGATTATTTTTAAAATAGCTTTAACAATGCTCTGACAGAACTTTTCTTTATTCCTTCTATTACCATCAACTTTTGCGTCTGTGATTACTACAAAGCTTGATTTGATCTCAAGCATTGCCATCAAGTCCTTTATAATAACTTCAGAAAATGACTGATCTTATGACAAAAATGACTTGAAATTAAACTACTGGACTTTAAATATATCGCAACCGAATTTAAGAAATATTATATCATATTTTACAGTTTTCTGATTTCCGGCAATATTCTCATTCCTTGTTAGACTCCAGTTTATGCAAGGAATAAACTTGCATTTTATCGGGTCGGTTTAGGTTGCTGTTATCTAATTGGTCATTTGCTCAATAATGATGAAGGAATAAAGAAAAGCAGTAGAATTTCAGAAATGGAAAATTTTGGTAGATTAAATTTTGAAAGAAACTGAGTTACATATTTTATATTGAGTAATATAATTATTTAACTTACTTCTAGGTCTCTTTCTGATGGTCTGCCTCTGTCAGCTTGTCTTTCCGCCTCAAGCGCCTTCATCTCCAGTATCTGCTGCTCCGGAGACACTGGTCGGCTAATGTGTCTATAGTAGCATGAAAAACATTAGAGTCTTTAAGACTTTTATGGTAGAAAACCTAACTTCGATAAACAGAAAATCATGATACACGTATTATAGCTATTTAGTCAGGATTACTTAGGTAAGTAAATATAATCTTAAATGAGCGTACTCAGTTTAGTTCAATGTGCACCTGAAAGTATATTTTCTAATCAGTTGGGCGTTTACCTCACCGAGTTAGTAATAAGTATCTGTGAAACGGAATTATACATGTTTAATATTTTCCGAATCGGAAGATAGACTTCATACAATAGTTTTTCTGAAAACAAAACGACTTCTGACAACCCTTGTCAAACGTCAGAAACTGGAATATTTATGCTAGTGAACAAGTTTGGCTTGAAAACGCAAATATTAAGACCGGTGTTGTGTCTTTCATTAGTTAAGACTATGGATAACTATAGTTATCATCCTATAGGAAGGTTAGCCGATTTGGAATGATATCCTGAATAGTAATTTTAAGATGCTTTATTACAAATGAGAGAAAACAGTAAACTTCAGCCATTAGAAAGTTATTAAAGCAATAACTCATTAAAAACTTTCTTTTGATGATAATTTTCAACGATCATTTCAATAATTTTGTTTCAATAATTGATTCTTTTACTCTACTTATAACAGACAGTTATACATCACTGACATGTTTGGTAAATAGAATATCATACATACTCACCCCTCTCCATAGTCCTCTTTGCATACTTCTCTTGTATTAATCGTTTGACTTATATCACTGAATCGAGCCAATTTGCTTAGCTGAATGTTGACAGCAGCGGGGGAAAAATTGTTTCCTATGGACTGGCTGGGAGGTCGCCAATGCTTTTGCTCTTTGAACGGCGAGGCCTTCGTTAATGTGAATGGATTCATCAGGGGTGGATGTTTGGCATTTCTTGACACCATCTAGGTTTTATTAAAAGCCTATAACTACTACTTTGATCTAAGGCATGACTCACAACATATAGTGATGAGGGCGCTTCTGGTTTTACTACCGGAGGCAACGCTGGCAGGGTCTTTGTTGAGCTGCAGCTAAATGTTGGAGTTGGAAGTCTCTGTAAAATTTTGCGTGAAATTCACAATTTATTTACTTGAATAATATCGTCATATCTTTTTAAGGGCCAAAGGCGTTCAAAATACTCCTGTGGCTATTGAAATTGATATAAAAATAAATAAGTCGTTACTTCTTCTGTTTCACTGTTGGAATCAGCCCTTCGCTTCTGTCCGGGCATTTTTATTATTTAA